GTTTCGGCTGGGCCTCCCTTTTGCAGCTCTCGGGGTTTGCAACTGCTCAAAGAATACCCGATAAGCGACTACCGAATCACCTGCTACGGTGCGGCACGGGGGGGGGGGGGGGGGGGGGGGGGGGCACCAACACACACAACGAACTTAGAGACGAATGCGCACGGATGGCGCGTGATGCTGGATTCATGGTGCACATCGAAACAGCCGCCTTCAGCCCAGTGGAGGAGAAGAAGGCGGACTTGGCCTTACGCTCCCGCTCTACTGGCGCCGTCTACATCTGTGATGTGACGGTGACCGACCCCATCAGCACCCGCGATGAGAATGCTACTAAGGGGCGAGGGTGCGCGGCAAGGGAGGCGGCAGCACGGCCTTTACAAGGACCGCCCTGAGTGGGTGAAGTTTTTCCCTCTCGCGGTCGAGACATACGGGTGCCCATGCCCTGAGTCAGTAGACTTCCTGAAGCTACTCGCAGAGTCGGCTGCACGGCGGTTTTTTAACGCCGAGCCAACCTCCTACCAAGCTGCCAAGCTCTTACACCAATACCGGCAGCGGTGGTCGGTGGCTCTTCAAAGGGGGCAGTCAATTGGGTATCTAGAAAAGTGCAGCATCGAGGCAGCAGTAGAAAGCCCTCTACTAGAGGGGGTGGGTGAGGCCCCGTCCCTTGGGGACTGCCTCTCGGTTCTTGACCCTGCACTGGATCTGGCTTAGTGGGGGTTGCGCTGATGATTTAGTAGGATGTGGAATATGCACTAGCCCCACGCATGAGATGCCTATACCTTGCATGTCTGTAAGCCTCGACAATCAATGAAAGGGCCATTAGAGAGGTGGGATGGGGGTTGGTGGCAGTGGGAGTGGGGTTGGGGTTGGCGGGGTGGTGGCCAGCTCCAGCCTCCAGGTAGATACTGCTCTGCGCATCCATGTGATTAGGCGAACAACCACATGGCTGAAGGTAGGTACTGCTCTGCGCATCCATGTGATTAGGCGAACAACCACATGGCTGAAGGTAGGTACTGCTCTGCGCATCCATGTGATTAGGCGAACAACCACATGGCTGAAGGTAGGTACTGCTCTGCTCATCCATGTGATTAGGCGAACAACCACATGGCTGAAGGTAGGTACTGCTCTGCTCATCCATGTGATTAGGCGAACAACCACATGGCTGAAGGTAGGTACTGCTCTGCTCATCCATGTGATTAGGCGAACAACCACATGGCTGAAGGTAGGTACTGCTCTGCTCATCCATGTGATTAGGCGAACAACCACATGGCTGAAGGTAGGTACTGCTCTGCTCATCCATGTGATTAGGCGAACAACCACATGGCTGAAGGTAGGTACTGCTCTGCTCATCCACAGCCACAAAAGCGGGCTGCAGGTGGGAGGAGAGAAGAAAAAGGTTGGGAGTGGGCTGGGGTTGGTGGGTGTGCTGCTGCAGGTGCACCAAGAGAGAAGAGAAGGGAGGAGAGAGGAAGGAGCTTGGTGGGAGGGCGGTTGAGGTTGGTGGGTGGGAGGGATTGGAGTTGATGAATTTGCTGGCGCACCTGCACCTGTTCCATTGCCTGGCAGGTGCACATCAATACGGGCGGCACGTGGTGGAGGTTGAATGGGGTGGCGCAGAGGGCAGTTCACTGCCATTCGCAGATGCCACCTGTGGGATGGGGTATTACTTACCACCAATGCATGTGTCACCTGCTCCCTTTCTTCCGCTCTATTGCCACACACCAAGCACTCTCCCCTCCTGCGCCCATGAGACGGAGGGCATAATCAAGGTGGGGTGGGTGGGCAGGGAGGAGACATTGAAGGCAGAAGGAGTCCGTGAGCTGCTGCACTCATGAACGTCCCCTGCATCCATTCTTCCCTCCCCTTGCCACCTACACTCCCCTCTCCCCTCTCCCCTCTCCCCTCTCCCCTCTCCCCTCTCCCCTCTCCCCTCTCCCCTCTCCCCTCTCCCCTCTCCCCTCTCCCCTCTCCCCTCTCCCCTCTCCCCTCTCCCCTCTCCCCTCACACTCCCCTCTCCCCCCTGCATTCCCCTCTCCCCCCCCTTTGCCCCCATCAGACGGAGGGCATATTCAAAGTGGGAGTGGACGTGGGCAGAGAGGAGGCCGCCAAGGCAGCTGTGAATGCGGGGCAAATTCCCCCCTCCACTGATGTTCACTGCCTCGCAGCGCTTATCAAGGTGAGAGAATGCTGTTATCAACGTGAGGGGCACTGTCAACATATATTTCATATGTTGTATATGGTTAGTGTAGGTGTTACTGTTTTGCCCTGCCTCTAGATTAGGGTTTCATACATACTGCTTGTAAATTTCTCATTCTAGTCAATTCTTACACAAGTCAGTTCGTAACAGGCACGTGTCGCATAGTGATCGTGGCAGGGAGTGAGGGCAGGGCAGCAGTGAGGGCAGCAGTCAGGTCATGGCATGGCAGGCAGGTGCTGTGCTGCTGCCTTCACATCCGCCACCACTACCATGCACTGCCTGCCCGCCTGCCCGCGCCAGCTCGCCTGCCCGCCCGCCCTGTCCACCTGCCTGCCTGCCTGCCCGCCTGCCTACCTGCCTGCCTTCCTGCCCGCTCACATCAACACAGGGCCTTCTGCTGCCTCTGTGAGGGGCGATGAGTTAGGTGTGTGACGATTGTGAATGAAAGGGATGTATCTGTGAAGTAGAGTGCGAGTTGAATCGAGAGAGCTGGTCAGAGTGCTTGTGGCGAGAGGGCGGGCGGCAAGGGCGAGGTGCAGGCAAGGGCGAGGTGCTGGCAAGGGCGAGGTGCTGGCTGGCAGGGCAGGCCGCCACTCTTCATCACCTTCCTCTCCCACCTCCTCTTCTCCTCTCTTCTCACTCTTCTCCCCTCCTCTCCCTCCTCCTCCTCTTCTCCTCTCTTCTCCCTCTCCCCCCATCCCCCCTTCTCCCTTCCCTCCTTCCCCCTCCGCCCTCCCCTACCCCAGGCCTGGTTCCGAGAGCTCCCAGACGGGCTCTTGGATGCGCTGCCACTCTCCCTGCTCGCGTCGGCAGCGGACCCGCACAGCGAGGAGGGCGGCGGCATGGCGGACGTGCTGGGAGTGCTGCCGCCCGCCTGCAGCTGCCTGCTGGACTGGCTGCTCAACCTGCTTGTGGACGTGGTGGAGTGCCAACACCGCAACCACATGGGCGCCAGAGCACTCGCGCTGGTGTTTGCGCCCAACCTCGTGCAGGTAGGTGTGTGCCTGCTCTGCCTTCCCTGCTTGCCTACAGCTGCCTGCTGGACTGGCTGCTCAACCTGCTCGTGGATGTGGTGGAGTGCCAACACCGCAACCACATGGGCGCCCGGGCGCTCGCCCTTTTCTTCGCGCCAAACCTTGTCCAGGTGGGTGCGGCCTCGGTGATTTTTTGAGTCGACTAAAGATTCAACCTGCTTGTCAGGAATGATGGTACTGTTAGAACCAAAAGGAATTCTACCCCTAATAACCGTTCTCCAAGATTGACCGGCCCTGTTTCCTGCCGCTTACTGGAACCCCACAAGGGGTTGCGGCACGGCAAAGCAGTCCCCAAGGGCCAGTTCGGCCTGTGTTCCTCCTACGGGCGAGTTTTCCGCCACCGCTGCCAGGTTGGAATTGATGCGATAGCCAACTGATTGGCCCCTCTGCAGCGCCACCGCCCACCTCTGCCTGAGTTGGTGGAGGAATTTTGCGGCCAGGAAAGGGCGGGGGTCGGCGGTGAAGCACCTTGGGGCCGCCGTGTCAGCCAACAGGTTCAGAGAGGTGTGTACTTCCGCGCACAGGCACCCGCTGGTTTCTACGGCTAAGGGGAAGAGACCGACACGATCAGGTCTGTTCCTCTAGTGTGAGATTTTCTTTGCTGCTTGTTCCCTCACAGCCCAGCCCCTCCCCTTGATTGCCTCGGGGTTTCTTGTACCTGATGGGGTCTGTGACTGTTACGTCACGGAACCAGACCGTTCCCGAGCTCTTGTCTCGGATTGCAAGGTCAGCCGTCCGTTCCTCGACCGGGCAGTAGGCAGCCGTCTCCCTCCCTGTGGACGATGAAGCCTGCGTCCGTGGCCATGCTGATGCGTCCGTGGCCATGCTGATGCGTCCGTGGCCATGCTGATGCGTCCGTGGCCATGCTGATGCGTCCGTGGCCATGCTGATGCGTCCGTGGCCATGCTGATGCGTCCGTGGCCATGCTGATGCGTCCGTGGCCATGCTGATGCGTCCGTGGCCATGCTGATGCGTCCGTGGCCATGCTGATGCGTCCGTGGCCATGCTGATGCGTCCGTGGCCATGCTGATGCGTCCGTGGCCATGCTGATGCGTCCGTGGCCATGCTGATGCGTCCGTGGCCATGCTGATGCGTCCATGGCCATGCTGATGCGTCCTTCTGAGTCGACTTAAATGCTGATGCACGCATCTCTCTGCTCCTTCTGCGTCTTCATCCTGGCCTTGCCACTGCAGCACCGCCCCTTCCTCGTCCTCTCCTCACCTCCCCACCCCCTCCCTTTCCCCCCCCTCCCAAACCAGGTGGGCACGATCTCGCTGCCAGTCTCAATTGCGCCATGCTGCTCATGGACCTCCCACAGGCGCTTGTCGCACGCACCCTATCCCTCACCACCTTCTCCTCCTTCCCCTCCCCGACCCCTCCTCCCCCTTCCTCTCCCCCTCCCTTCTTCCTCTTCCCCCCTGCATGCCCTATCCCTGTCCCCTCCCCACCTCCCCTCTCCTTCACAAGGTGGGCGACCCCGCCGCCAGTCTCAAGCGCGCCATGCTCCTCATGGACCTGCTAGAAGCCCTCATCGTGCGCACTTTGCTAGAAGCCCTCATCGTGCGCACTTTGCTAGAAGCCCTCATCGTGCGCACTTTGCTAGAAGCCCTCATCGTGCGCACTTTGCTAGAAGCCCTCATCGTGCGCACTTTGCTAGAAGCCCTCATCGTGCGCACTTTCTCACCGCCCTCTGCTCGGCGCCTTCCCTCCTCCTGCCCCTCCACTCGCTGGCCCTCCCTCCCCTCCCCTCCAGCTGGGTGACCCCGCTGCTAATGGACCTCCTCAGGGCCCTCATTGCCCGCACCTTCTCACCACCCTCTCCCCCTTCCCCTTGCTGCCCCCTGCCCAACCCTTCCCCAACCCTACCCCTCGCCACTCCCTCCGCCCACCAGATGGGCGACCCCGCGGCCAGTCTCAAGCGCGCCATGCTGCTAATGGACCTCCTAGAGGCGCTCATCGTGCGCACCCACTCACCACCCTCTCCTCACCCCTGTCCCTCCCTGGCCTCTCCCTCCCCCTCCATCCCTGTCCCCACTCTATTAGGTGGGCGACCCCGCGGCCAGTCTCAAGCGAGCCATGCTGCTAATGGACCTCCTGGAGGCGCTCATCGCACGCAAGCACCGCCACCGCCAGCTCTTCGCGCACCACTGGCCGGGCGGGGGCGGCCGCGGGGGCACGTCAGTGGTGTCAGCGTCGGCGTCAGTGATGGATGAGTCGGAGGACTGGGAGGACACGGATCTGGATTCGTCCCTTAACTTCTCGCTGCTCTCAGGGGCGCATGGAGGGGTGGGGGGGTTTGGAGGCGCAGTGGGAGGGGAGAGGTTGTTTGGAGCGGGTTCGGTTCGGAGCGGTGCAGGTGGTGGTGGAAGTGGTGGTGGTGGTGGTACGTCGTTTGGGTCGGCGTCGGTTGTCCATAGCCCACGCACTGCGCTGATGCTCAGGGCGCTGGCAGCCGCTGGGCTGGGCGTGGGGGGGAGGGCAGTGGGGGGCGGTGTGGGGGGAGGGAGAGTGAGGAAGGAGAGTGGGGAGTGGGAGAGTGAGAGTGTGGGAGTGCGGTCGGGGTATTCGTCACCGTCCCCTGCCACGTGGAGGGGCGGGTTTGCTCTGAGGGCAGGCCGGTCGTGGGCTGTGGGCAGCGATGGGGGGGAGGGGCTGGGTTCAATATCTGAGCTTTGCCCCCTAGAGGATGGGGAGGAGGATGGTGAGGGGGATGGTGAGGGGGATGGGGAGAGGGATGGGGAGGGTGGTGGGATGAAAGGAGGGTTGGAGAGTGAGGGTGTAGAGGGAAGAGAGTGGTTGGGTGGGACGAGAAGGAGTGGGGATGGCATGGGGAGGAGGAATGGGGGGAGAGGGGGTGGAGGGGTGGACGGAGTGGAGGGACTGGCAGGGGCGGCAAGGGAGGGGCGTGGGGCGGATGGACGGGGGGATGGACATAGAGGAGAGGCGGGAAGTCGCTTGGCAGAATGGCTGAGTAATATTGATGAGGCTGTGGGGGAGGGGGAAAGGGAGGAAGCATTGGGGGAGGGGGAAGAGGGTGGAGCGGAGGGGGAGGGGGGAGGGAAAGAACCGGAGGGGGAAGGGGAAGGGGTCGACAAGGAGGGGGAGGGGAAAGGGGACGACGAAGCGGAGGGGAAAGGGGAAGGGGAAGTAGCAGTTGAGGTAGAAGTGGAAGAAGCAGAAGCAGGGGAGGAGGACGAGGACTTGGAAAGTGCGGAGACAGGCATGGATGAGTGTGTGGAGGAGGAAGAGGCAGAGGCAGCAGCAGAAGCAGCAGTGTCACCAACACTTCCATGTGATTTGCCACATGGAACAGAAGCTGCATTGCTCCTGCCACAGGGGGCAGATGCATGCAGTGATGATGGTGATGACGATTGTGGTGATGGTGGTGACGGCTCTGATTGTGGGTGTGAAAATTCGAATGAGGATGGCGATGAGGGCAGTGGTTGCAGTGACGACGTGGATGGTGCAGAGCCTGATGATCACACCTTTGCGCTGCCTCCAGGTGATGCTGCCAACACTGACAGCCTTGCTGCTGTTGAGAATTTATATTCCGAAGCAGAGGTCAATGTCAAGGTTGATGGTGATGGTGATGGTGATGGTGATGGTGATGGTGATGGTGATGGTGATGGTGATGGTGGTGGTGATGGTGGTGGTGGTTGCGAGCACGCGCATGATGGGATTGACTGTGGAGTGGATGATGCCAACCATCATGAACGTGGAGCACACAGCTCTAAACTAACTCGTAGGCATACAGCTGCTGCTCACACTGACACCGCTCATCCTGCCACTCACCCCACCACAGCCGCTCGCGAGGCTGCGATGCAAGAGCAGGCTTTGGGTTCCACCTCCCCTTGGGACGCTCCTCCCGAGCTCTCTTCTTCCCAGCCTCCATTTCCTCCCCCCACTCCTCCACCTACCACCCCGCCGGCCTCACTCCTCCCTGCCACGGCTCTTTCTGCTCTACCCGCTGCTGCAGACGCCATACAGTGCACAGCTGCGCCTGCCGCCGCCTCGTCTCCCCTCCTTGCCAGCATGCTCCTCGTGCTCGCTGCCATGCACACCGCCCCTCCCCTGCACCCCTCCCCACCGGCCTCAACAACCCATGTCCTCACTCCGTCTGCCTCTGCTCCTGCTGCTGCTGCAGACGTGGCAGCGTCATCCCAAGGCCCCACAGACCCTCCTCTTGTGGTCTCTCTGCCCCATCCCCCCTCCGCGGGCCCCTCTCCCACCCTGGCTGTACTAGAGCCAGGCCAGGTTCTTGTGCCCCCCCCCAAACGCAGCAGAGCATCCGCTGCTGCGTGCACTGCTGCCCCCGCTGTTGCTGGTGGTGGTGCTGCTGGCGCTGCTGCTGACACTGCAGTTGATGCTGCTGGCAGTGGGGGGCAAGAGGAGGGGAGTGGGCGGGGAAAGAGAGTCTTGAAGAAGACGGGTGCAGGGCGAGGCAAGGGCGCAGCAGCGGCAGGCAGGGCGGGAGCCAAGGGCGCTCTAGAGGGGTTGGGCGGAGAGGAGGGGAAGAAGGGGGGCGGAGAGGAGGGGAAGAAGGGGGGCGGAGAGGAGGGGAAGAAGGGGGGCGGAGAGGGATTGACGAAGGCAAAGGGCAGAGAGAGAGGCGGTGGAGGCGTGGCAGGTGCCGGGACGAAGAGGAGGACGGGTGGTGGTGGCAAGGCAGTGGGGGCAGCGGAGGGGGATGTTGGGGTTGTGGAGGAGCAAGGAGCGGATGATAGGTCCTGCCCGGTCGCATCGCTGGCAGATGAGGGGTGGAGACACGGTGAGCAAGAGGCAACAGTTAAGGATGGAGCAACAGCAGCAGCAGAAGCAGGCAAGACAGTGGCTGCAGTAGGCAAGAGGACAGCAGCTGGCAAGGCAACAACAGGGAAAACAGTGGCAGCAGGCAAGGCAGGAGCAGCAGGCAAAGTAGGGAAGAAGGTGGTGAACAAGGGAAAGGGCAAGGCCGCCAAGGTTGCTGACAGGGCAAGAGCAGAGGCGGAGGCAAGGCGGGGCGCGGAGGGGATGAGGGCAGGCGAGGGCCAGAGCAGCTGCTCAGTGGCAGCAGCGGGTGGGCGCATGGGTGCCGTGACGGGTGGTGGTGGGGCGAGCAAGGGAGGGAAGGTGAAGAAGAGTGCAAGGAAGGCTGTGGCGGAGATAGAAGAGATAGAGGAGATCAAGGTGGTGGAGGAGGAGGAGGGAGGGGTGAAGAAACACGGGCAGTCCAAGCGTGCCACCGCTGCGGCCACCGGTGCTGCTTCCGCTGCTGCCGCTGCTGCGGGTGCTCCCAAGCCTCGCAAACGTCGTGAGGCAGGAACAGCGGTTAGTGGTGGTGGTGGTGATGGCACTGGCGGCACTGCTGCCCGCAGGGACGTGGCATCTGGGCAGGTCGTTGAGAGGAGCGGCAGGGAGGCAGCGAGGGGGAAGGGGAAGGGGAGGGTTGGTGAGACGGGCGCGAGTGGTGGTAGTGGTGGCGGGGTGGAAGGACGAGCAGTGAGGGGTGGTGGGGGTGCAAGAGCAGCAGGGAGGGAGGCGGCAATGAGAGAGGCGCTGGGGAGGGAGCTGGCGTGGATGCAGCGAGTGAGGGAGATGCAGGGCGGCGAGTGGGGCGAGCGCTGGCAGCGGTGGCTGCAGGAGAGCGAGGAGAGTAGGAGCGAAGGGGGGAGCAGGAGGGGGGCTGCGAGGGAGGGCGTGCATGTGTTTGGGGAGGGGACTGCCGTGCGGGAGAGGATCAGCGAGTGGGAGAGGGCTCTTGCGCTTGCCCGTGCTGCTGTTGATGCGGAGGGCAGGGCAGTGGGGGAGGGAGTAGGGGGAGGGGAAGCAGGATGGGGAGAGGGGGGAAGGGGGGAAGTGGGGAGTGGTGGGAGGAGGGGCGGGAGTGGACATGGGAAGCGGCACGAGGGGCAGCTGAGGCAGGCTGGGGAGGAGAATAGCCGGGGTGGGAAGGGTGGGGATGAGAGGGGAGGGGTTGAGAAGGGGGGGCAGCAGGGGGAGCAAGAGGAGAGCAGTGAATTGTGGCGGTGGAGGAGGGCGCTGGCAGGGCGTGTGGGGGGAGGCGGGGGAGGGGGGGGAGCGGAGAGGTTTCAGCCGGCGTGTGTGCTGCCGCCACTCTCCTCTGCCCACCGCTCCCACGGCGGTGCTGCTGCCTCTGCTGCAGCCGCTGCTGCCGGTGGGGGCCCTGTTGCACCCCATGCCCATGCTCATGCTCATGCTCATGCTCATGCTCATGCTCATGCTCATGCTCATGCGTGTCCCTCCCTGGCACACGCACCGGCTGACTTTGAGCTTCTAGAAGAAACACCAAGGGGTGGGGATGTGCGGCGGCGCTCTGAAAGCACGGCTGGTGGTGGTGGTGACGCACGGATGGCAGAGCAGGCAGGGGAGCACGGCTCTAAGATGCATCGCCAGGAGAAGAGCAGCGGTGCAGCACCTGACAGTTTGCTACCTGCCCACCCCGCACCTGGCCGTTCACCTGAGAATCAGTGTGTGCCACCCAGTGTGCCGGCTTCAGGTGGTGGGAAGGTGAAAGGGAAGAAAGGGGTTAAGGGAACGGGCAAAGACAGAGCAGGTTTGGCAGAGAAGCAAGGGAAGGAGGGTGGGGAAGAGGCGAGTGGAGCGGTGGAGGGAAGTGGGGCCAAGGGTAGGAAGGGGGGAAAGAAGGCAGTGGCAGCAGCAGTGGTGGCGGAAATGAGGAGGAGGAAGGGCGGATGGGGGCCAGAGGACGAGGCGGAGGGCGAGGAGGAGGCGGAGGGCGAGGAGAAAGCAGGTGCTAGTGAAGCAGTGGCAGGGGGGATGGCAGCGGTGGGCGCAGCAGGGGAGGAGCAGGTGGAAGGGAGGCCACAGGCAACTGCTGGGCAACCACCGAGTGAGAGGCATGAGCAGCAGAGGCAGCAGAGTGAGCAAATGGAGCAGTTGCATTGTGAGGCTCCAGAGGCAGTTCAGCAGGTGAGGAGCATGGATGGTGTCGACAATGGGGAAGTCAGCAACAGAGGCAGGCGGGTAGGGGAGGGCGATGCAGGTGGTGGTGCAGTGGTGAGTCAACGGGGGCCCAGCAGAGCCAGCAGCCGCAGCAGCAAGAGCAGGAGCAGCAGCAGCAGCGGCGCCAGCACCCCTGCTCCCACCACTCGCCTCCTCCCGCTCCCCGCACCCAACCCTCTCCATCCCGCCCGCCCCTCCGCCCCCAAGCCCTCTCTGCTCATGCCCGGCCCCTCCTGCATCGCCCCTTCTGCCCGGCCTCACTCGTCTGCCGCCAGTGCTTCCTCTCCTCGCCTGCACAACTCCCCTGCCTCCTCCTCTCTCCCCTCTCCCTCTCCTTCCCTCCCCTCCCCCTCCACCTCCACTCCACTCGCCGCCGCCTCTCCTTTCAACCGCCCACAGCTGCCGCTGGGGTCCCACGTTCCTCCATCCCCTCCCATTCCTCCTCCCTTGTGCACTCCTCCATTTCATCCCAGTCATCCCACACCCTCACTCCCTCTCACTCACACACTCCCTCTACCTCCTCACTCATATCCTTCGCCTCTCCTCTCCCCTCCTCCACCCTCTCTCACCCCTCGTCTAGCCCCTCTGCTGACGCCCCTCCCTCCCACCTCCCTCCGCGCCCTTCCTCCCGCCGCCCTCCCCCGATTCTCCCCCCTTCCCGCCGCCATCCCTCCACCCTCCTAAACAATCTCACCCCTTCCTCCTCCCACTCCTCCCCCCAGCCAACCTCCTCCTCCCTCTCCTCCCCCCACCTGCCCTCCTCCGTGTTCTCCCCCCTCTCGCCCACCACTTCAGACTGCCCCGCCTCTCAGCTCGTCCCCCCACCCTCTCAGCTCGTCCCTCCACCCTCTCAGCTCGTCCCCCCACCATCGCTACCTCCCCGCAAGCACCCTTTCGCCCTGAGTGGCAGCAGCAGGGCGCTGGTGAGAGTGCCGTCTCCGACCAAGGAGGCTGGTGAAGCGGGTCAGCAACAGCACACAGCTGCCACCAGCAGCAGTGCAGTTGTTGCACCTGTCCCTGTCCCTGCCCTCGCAACACCTGTCCCCTGCCCTGCTTTTGCTACAGCAGCCTCGCCTACCAAAGAAATGCCTCTCCCCTGTCCTTCCTCTCATGCAGCAGCTCCCTCTGCTGCCAAGAAGCCACCTTCACCAGGTAGAACCTCCCCTTTGGGTTCCCCTGCCAGGCACTCCGTGCAGGTCAATAGGATCAGCCAAATGCCACCTCCACCAGGTAGCCCCTCTCAACACAGATCCCCCTCTGAAGCTGCTTTTGGCTCCCCTGCTTCTGCCGCTCCCCCTCATTCACCCTCCTCTCATGGCACCTCTCCTCATTCCCCGAGAAGGCACTCCAACTCGGCCGTACCGGCCTCTCCTCCTCGTGCTCATCTGCATCTGCGTGCCTCAACGTCCCTGCTGCCTGCACCCTCCTCACCTGCACCCGCCTCACCTGGTGCTACGAGCCATGCTGCACTTCCGGCCATGCAGGGCGCTGCTGCCCTGCCTGCCAGCAGACAGGGAGAGGGCGCTGCAGAGGCGACTGCGATTCCTCTCCTCATGCCCCCCTCTCAGGGGTATTCCCACCGCTCCTCCCCTCCTCATGCTCTTGTCGGGGGAATGTTGATGGCCAATGGAGGCTCGTCACGGGTTTCATCGTTCCGTGACGGCGTTACATCTCCAAGAGGCGTTTCATCTCACGGTGGCGTTACATCTCATAATTCCCGTGCACTGAACGAGGGTAGGGGGTCATTCCCACCCAGATGCCTCTCATACCCTCATAGCCTCTTTGCACCTCCTGTTGCATCCGTTTCATCTTTAGATGTACCCATTTCACCTCTGCACTCTAACGGATTATCTTCTCCCAGACCCATGTTCGCCTCTCAAAGCATCCCCATTAAGGCACACTCTAACACCTCACTCGCCAACCTCTATGCATCCGCACACAGTCACAAGCAGCTCAGTGGCTCTTCTTCCCTCGCCTCCCCCCATCCATTGTCTTCTGCCTCTCGTCCAAAATGCCGCTCCCCACCACCCGCCAACCCGCCACCTCCCCCCACTTGCGTCGAGCACTGTCAGTGTCCTCCCCAAGCCATCCCTCCCCAAGCCATCCCTCCCCAAGCCATCCCTCCCCAAGCCATCCCTCCCCAAGCCATCCCTCCCCAAGCCATCCCTCCCCAAGCCATCCCTCCCCAAGCCATCCCTCCGTCGCTCTGCCCTCCTCCTCCCCCCTTCATCCTTCCAACTCGAGTCTTGCTTCTCCAAGGCAGCCCCCTACCTCATCCCCAACCCCCCCCTCTCGCCCCTCCCTTCAGAAGCAGCAATCCTTCCCTCCTTCCTCCACTGCCCACGCACGCCTGTCCACGCCTCTCCCTCCTCCCCTTCCCGCAGAGGCTTTTCCTCGCCCCCCAAGCTCCCACCGTCCCGATTGCCATCCCGCCCTTTCCTCCTCTCCTCGCCTCACACCCTCTCTTTCTCGAGCCTCTCGCTCCTCCACGTCCTCTCGCTCCTCTGCCTCTCATGCTTCCTCTCCTCATCCTTCCTCCTCGCGTGCTTCTTCCTCTCACATCTCCTCCTCTCACATCTCCCCTCACGCTTCTTCCTCTCATGCCTCCTCCCCTCATGCTTCCTCCTCTCATGCCTCCTCCCCTCACGCTTCTTCCTCTCATGCTTCTTCCTCTCATGCTTCCTCCTCTGATGCTTCCTCCTCTAATGCGTCTTCCTCTCATGCGTCTTCCTCTCATGCGTCCTCCTCTCATGCGTCCTCCCCTCATGCTTCCTCCTCTTCCTCGCCTCCTTCTTGCGCCTCCACCTCTCTATCCTCCCTGCCCTCCCTCCCTTCCCTCGGTTCCGACAACACACAATCGATGCAACCACCAAAGCAGCTCGAGGAACCACCACAGGAGCACCGGCAGCAGGAGGATGGGTTAATGGGTGCACAGGGGTCAGTGTTGCAGATACGGGGAGGGGATGGAGAAGCAATAGGTGAGGTGGAGAAGGGTTTGATGCGGTGCAACGGCTCAAGCAGCAGCAGTGAGAGTGAGAGGTGTTGTAAGGAAGGGCGAGGGAAAGGGGCAGGGCAGAGTGGTGCCGTAGGAAGTGGTGTGGTGGGAGGTGGTGCGGTGGGAGGTGGTGCGGTAGGAGGTGGTGCAGTAGGAAGCGGGAAGGACAGGGGAGGGGTCAGAGAGGCAAGGCGGCGGCTGGATGAGGAGGGCAGCAGCAGCTGCAGCAGTCGGAACGCGGTGATCAAGGGGGGAAGGAGAGGGGTGCGCGGAATTGAGGTGGGTGAGAAGGCAGGGCAAAGAAGAGGCAACGCCAGGGCCGATGGGGATGAGGAGGAGCAGATGGGTAGAGGCAAGCCATGGCGCCGAGCTGCTGGCAGGGCGAGGGCTGATGGGGCTGGGGTGGGAGGAGAGGGGCAGATTACAGGTGCAGAAAAGCAGGAGACACATGGCTATGCGTCGAATGATGGGGTGGACAAATCTAGGAGAGGGAATGGAGGGAGAGCAGGGAACGGAGGGAACCAGGGGAGTGATGGAATGGGGGGAATAGGGGGAATGGGGGGAATGAGGGGAATGGGGGACATGAGGGGTGTGTCTCTTGCAGCAGCAGGAGGCACTTGCAGGGCGTGGGGAGCGTTCAGCAGAATTCTTGTGAAGCCTCTGATGCACGGACCACATGCGACACATGTATGGCTGATGTGGATGGAATGGAGGGTGCGGGGACGAAAGGCGGTGAGAAGAGAGCCAGTGGGAGGAGAGGCAGTGCAGGTGAAGTGGAGAGTGGGGATATACAGCATTGGTATGGCAGTGCAGGGCATGGAAGTGCAGGGCATGGCAGTGCAGGGCATGGAAGTGCAGGGCGTGGCAGGGCAGGGCATGGCAGTGCAGGGCATGGCAGTGCAGAGAGCATGATGAGGCATGAAGGTGGAGAGAAGGGGGGCACGTGGAGAGAAGGTGCAACAAGTGCATCGCAGAGGGTCTCCCAGCCCCAAGCTGCAGCCTCCCAGCCCCAAGGTGCAGCCTCCCTGCCCCAAGGTGCAGCCTCCCTGCCCCAAGGTGCAGCCTCCCTGCCCCAAGGTGCAGCCTTCCTGCCCCAAGGTGCAGCCTTCCTGCCCCGAGGTGCAGCCTTCCTGCCCCAAGGTGCAGCCTTCCTGCCCCGAGGTGCAGACTTCCTGCCCCAAGGTGCAGCCTCCCTGCCCCAAGGTGCAGCCTCCCTGCCCCAGGGTGGGCGTGCCACGACTCACTGCAGCTCTGTTGACTCGTTTAACTCGCCTCACTCCTCTGATTCGTCTGAACCATCCGACTCCCAGACTTTACCCCCAGTGGCTGGGTGGCCTCTGGGCCTTGCTTCGCACCCAACAAGGCACCCAGAGCAGCAGTAGCAGGGGAATGTCTAACAATCAGCACATGATTCATGTGACAGACAGCATCAGGCCCTCAGATTCGTTTTTGGCCTGTCTGATTCGTCAGACTAGTACACAATTTTAGTCTGAAAATCTCAGACTTGGTATAAAAAAAAAGGCTGAAGTGTCAGAGTGTCTTAAAAAAAAAGTATGATCATTCAAAATCAATGTATTCAATGTTTCATTGGAAGTGAATTCAATGTTTCATTCATCTGCTACCGAAACATGCTACACTAAGGGGATTTTCGATAAAACATGCTCTGACAGGGCGAATATATGTGTCAGGGCGAATCTTGTGGTGCGAAAAGGCGAATGTGCAATGTCAGGGCGATTTTGCTGTGATTGGGCGAAAATTGTGGTGCTCTGACAACGCAAATCTGTTGTGTCAGGGCGATTTTGCTATGATTGGGTGAAAAGAAAATCTTGCAATGTACCGTAAGGCTCGGATTTGCTGTGTCAAGGCGATTTTGCGTTGGCGGTGCGAATCTGCCGTGACCAGTAAGTCCGAATCACCAGTCAAGGACGCGTTTGTACTCTGAATGATCAGAGTACACTCTCAGAAAACTCTGAACTCTCAGAGTTAGCCTTAAAAAAAGTCTGAAAATTACAGAGTTGAGGCCAAAAAAAAGTCTGATTTTATCAGAGTACACAGGAAAAAAAATCTGAAATATCAGAGAAAAAAGTCCAAATCAGAGAAAAAAGTCTGACTTCTGTGGGCCTGGACAGCATGTTGCTACGATCAGAGAATGATCGCTTACCAGGATCTACTCGGGAAGGTTCGCACGTGGGTAGATAGTTGGTGGGCCCTTGACCTCAATAGCAGAGTGAATGTAAAATGCTTGAGATGATAAAAACATGCAAATACAACGATATAAATAAGAGTACAGGGGAATACGAAACGACCTAGCTAGCCATGTACTCTAAGGGGTACATTCCCTTATTCAAATACATTCCCAACCGTGCGGCGCGTACAGTTACGAAACTGTTCCCGCCGAAACCATCCTGCCTGCAGCTGCCCGATGCCGTCTGCTCCGACGGTCCAGATGCGCCCCAACCGTCTGATGCTTCGAGTCAGTCTTCAACCGTCTGACGGTTCGCGTTCTTGCTTCGATACTGCGTGCTTCTCTTTGCTGCGGTGAGGAGTGCTCAGTAACAATTAAATATTACTATTCGTAACACCCCCCTTCACTCCTGGCCGTAGCTCGATTTGACCTGCTTGACCACGCCGCTGAGTTCGGAGCAGTGTTGATACTGCTGGCGTGGCAGTCGCTTTGTGAGGAAGTCTGCTGCCATGTCACCGGTCGGGCAATAGGTCAAGTTGACCTTGCCCTTGTCCACCTCGTCCTTCACGAAGAAATATCGCAGCGCAATGTGCTTGGTGCGATTGACGAAGCCAGGTTTGTTCGCGATGCGAATCGCGCTCTGGTTGTCGCAGTGAAGTCGAAAGGTTGGCGAAGCTGGAATTTTCGCCTCCTGCAGGAGTTCCTGTAGGTAGAGGCCTTCGCGAACTGCTGCGGTTGCTGCGATGAATTCTGCTTCGGCTGACGACAGGGCAACCAGCTCCTGCTTCTGTGAGTTCCAGGAGATTGGCCGAGTTGGTTCGAGTCGGAACAGGAAGCCGGTCCTGGACCGTCGATTGTCGGGATCTGCTGCATGATCGGCATCCACATAGCCGACGAGATTGAAGGATGGGGTTGGTGCAGTTGAGTAGCACAGCCCAATCTTGGGCGTTGAAACGAAAAATTGCAAAGCGCGCTGCAGGTCCAGGTGATTCTCAGCCGTTGGTTTCCGTGAGTACTGGGCAAGCTGACTTGCGATGTAATAGAGGTCTGGCCTGCAGGTGACAGAGGCGAAGAGGAGGCATCCCAGCTGCTGCTGGTAAGTCTGAACTCCAGCAGGGGATAGGGCTTTGTTGTCGGGTTTGTGGTTTGGTCCAGGGGTTTGGTAGGGTGTCGAGAGAGGTGCAGGGGGAATGTTGAACCGCTTCCCTAACTCCTCTGCGTACTTAGCCGCTGAGAGGTGAATGGCTTCAGGCGCGTAGGAGATGTTGAGGCCTAGGAACTGCTTCACCTCGTAATTGCACGTGATGTCGACGCGCCCCGCCAAAGCCTTCTCGAACTGTTCGAGCAGCTCGTTGTTTGAGCCCGTGTAGAGCAAGTCGTCGACGTAGACCGTGAGGAGGATGTATTCCCCGCGGAAATCGCGGCGGTACATCCCTGGGTCGTGGGGCATCTGCTTGAACCCGATTTCAAGCAGGATATTGTGCAGGTACTGCTGCCACAGCCTCGGTGCTTGTTTGATCCCGTAGAGCGACTTGCGCAGTTGACACACGCGCGAATTTCCTTCGCCATAGGTGTGCGGCTGCTCCACGTAGATCACGGCGTCTACTAGCGCGTACAGGAACGCATTCTTCACGTCGATCTGGCGGAGTGGCAGGTGCCTCGCAGCTGCGATGGCGAGCAGGATTCGAACGGAGGTGTGGCGACTGACTGGAGCGAATGTCTGGTCGAAGTCGATGCCGTGCCTCTGGTCATAGCCGCGCACTACCCAGCGCGCCTTGAAGCGCTCGATCGTTCCGTCAGCTGCGGTCTTCACGCGGAAGACCCACTTTCCCGAAAGGATTCTTGCACCTTTGATTGCCGCACGGTCGACCAGCACCCAGGTGTCTCGGGACTCGAGCGCCTTGATCTCCGCATCCATTGCCTCGCGCCACTCCTTGCTGTGTGGCCCAGATAGAGCTTCACGCGGATTTCGGGGCTCGATTACACGTGGCGCCTTCGAGGTTGCGGTGTGAAGCCCGAGCAGCTGTAGTCCTGAGATGGTGCTGTCGTGGCGTTGTTGCGGGACGACTTCCTGCACATCGTCGTCATCGCTTTCCGGTTCAGGTGGCGCTGGTGGTGCTGCGCCTCTGCCGCTTCCGCCTGTTCCGCCCATTCCTCCTCCTGAGGAATCGTCGTCGTCGTCGCTGCTGCGCCGATCTTCCCATGTGAACTCGCCCCTTGTATCCTGCTCCAGGATTGCTGCAGCGGCCTCATCTTCGGGCGTTGCGTAGCTGTGCCCGTCGTTCGCGTAAACGCGATTCGCGTTCGTTTCCTCGTCGTGACGGAATTGGTCGAGGAAGAGCCACTCGTAGAAGAATACGTCACGAGCGTGGGCGGTTTTCTGACTGAGGAGGTCCAGTACGATCCATGCTTTGTACTCGTGACTGATGCCGAGGTGAATTCCCCAGCGCGCGCGACTGGCGAATTTGCCGATGGTTGATGTTGGCGGGCGGTACTGCACCATGCACCCCCATACGCGGAGCATGGAGGTATCCCCCTTGGTCCCGGTCCATTTGACGTGCGGGGAGAGATTCCCGGTGATCGCGGTGGTTGAAAGCAGGTTGTGCACCCGCACGGCGTGGTGCATCGCGTAGGTCCAAAAGATCGGCGGCAGCTTCGACTGCTTCATCAGCGCCCGTACCTTCGTCATTAGTGTGCGATTCGTCCGCTCGGCTACGCCTTGCTGCTGATGTGCGTAGGGGAGA